GACCTCGGCGGCGGTAGCTGTCGGCTACAGCGGCTGAACCGGCTTTTGGCCTGCGCGCTCTATTGTTATCGGCGGCAGTGCCGCGGGACGAAAGGTAAGCGTTGGGCGGAGTGGTGGTACGTTATGTAACCGCTTCCCACAGTCGTCTCACGTTTATTCTCGGTTTGAGTGGTTTTCCCCTTTACGCACTAAAATACTGTGTTACGTAATTCTGACTAGGGAATCCTAGCTAGCGTGAAGACACACTCCTGGTTAAATATCTTAATACTAAATTTATAATATAAGCAATTAATCCGAGGTAAGTTTCAGCGTGAAAACTCTTACCTTTGTGCTGACTTGAGGTGACGATTCCTGCCAGTTTGACGCGGCTACGGCGGTGGTGATCTGGTTCACAATCGTGAAATTAAGAGACAACACGTCCGAAAGTGAATAATAGTGTCCGCTTGTGACGTTTATTTAACAATACAACAGAAAATAAAGATCGAAAATAACAGAAACGCACGGCGTGGTCGAACCGGAGTTTTCGGTGCGTGGATTATTTTACGGCGTACGTGCGTCCTGGTTAACCGTTGGTGGTTGAGAGAACGAGCCGCCGGCGGCCGGTACTCGTCTTGCGAGACTCGCCTTCCCGTCCTGCCTTGCCTCTGTGGCGTGGTGCGAGAGTTGGCGATGTCGCGCTCGTAGCCCGTGGTGGTGGTTGTCAAAAGCGCAGACCGGTCGCTGCGGTACCCGTACTTTGTACTGGTTGCCGCTGCGTACCGTGTCAACCGGCTGAAGTAACCGAGGTCCCACAACGCACACTATCGTCATAGTCAAACACGTTACCCACGTCATGTTCTGTTTTTCAGTGTAGAAGTTTGTTCCCACGGGTACCAACTTCTACAGGGGGGTTTCTGTGACGATCAGAGTTGGATGACCGTTTGACTATGGTCATGATAAAGTAACATGGTATGATGGCAACGAACCGAATACCGTCGGAGTTTGCGCAGATCATTGTATCCAGTTCGCCTCATTTCATTGGTTGTTGATATTTGCCGCCAAAAACAAAATTTACCATGATAATAATATATTTTGTATACCGACCAGACAATTAATATCACATTATATTATATAAATTATAATCACAGAATATAATATACAACCACATACAACTTTTATGTTATCTGTCTAATATTTACGATTCATCTTTATCCCATGATAAAAAAAAATTGACAATTGTGCCTACCGTTTTCAATTTTACGATTTTTTAATTTTTATTTATTCTTGGCTTGGTACAATTTTAAATAACATAAAACAATAATGCCAGTGTGTATATATAAAAACTGTTTTAGCGGTAGTAAAAAAAAGGGAATCAATATCAATTCAAGTATTACGTTACACCGTTTTCCCAAGGATGATACTTTGAGACAAATATGGCAGCAAAGTTCAATGGTTAAGGGCATGATTAATTTTGATTTTGGTAGTATAGACTTCATATTAATTAACGTTATATGAACTTGATGTATTATTTTTCTGAGTAATGATTAGCTGTAGTATGTTCATTACATTTCGACAAACACCACTATGAAAATCCAAAAAAAAGAGTAAAAAGGCTAATTGAATGTAAACCAAAACTGAAACTTAAAATGGATGCTGTACCATTAAAGTACACAAGTAAATGATGTATCAGAAATGTTTTAATACAATTTTTTGTTTCTATATGATAGTCCCCTTGGTTATGATTATGATGATATTCCTTATCAAAGAAAGTTGGAACCAGCAATTACAACTATATTCACTCCTGCTGGAAAATTTGTTGTAAGTGAATCTAATATTATTGACCAAGAGACGTCCTGCAGTGACACAATCATTCCCATTGTCAATTATGATAATAACAGGTATTTTATTTGATAATAATACTAGACTAATTTTGTAATTGTTTTTTAAAAACTATTATACCAAGTAAAGTAATAGTGCTGCTCAAGTTAACTAATATTGTTGACTTTTTAAATAAATTTTATCTAGAAGAATTCAATTTAACAATGTCAACTCATTAAGTTGAACATTACCCAAAAATTTACCTTTACCTTAATTAATTTTACTCGCTCATTTTGTTGACAAATTGAATGTATATTGTATTAATCTATTATGGTCTTAGTGATGCAGACAATTTAAAATTTAGGTGTGGAGATAATGGGTAAGTATTTATTAACAAAAACCATATACAATTTTTATATTTATTAATTAAACATTTTGTAAATTGCATGTAGACAAAAATATAAACATAAAGTTAAGCTTTTTGATGATGAGTTAGGGGTATTTCCACTCAATGATACCGATGAAATTACTAAGGACAATCTCATTAAAAAGTATTATATTTTTAAAAATTAAATAATTCCTCTTTGTTTTATAACTTATATAATAAATAATAATATATAAACAATATACTTATAGCTAAGTTGAAATATCGGTAAACAAATAAACAATAATACATAATACTTATATTGTCTCTTTGTCTGTTCTTTAGTAGAGTATGTAGAATGAATAATTTAAAGTACAGTGATTTTTTTTTTTCAGTATTTTAATAGTATTTATTATTAACTATCTAGTGTTATATTTTTATTTTTTAGATGTTTATTTTTGTTTTATTAATCCAAAACTTAATCATCTAAGGCCATTACTTTTTCCAAATTGTAGTAAAAAGTTTATAATATTATATAACATTAGATAACATTTTTTTTTTACATTGGACAATATTATATTAAATTGTTTTTATTATTAATTTAATAGTGTTATACTATTATTTTTTAGATGTATATTTTAGTTATATCTATCTAAAACTTCAACAGCTAAGGCCATTAGTTTTTCCAAATTGTTATACATAGTTATTATATAACATTATTTTTTTTTCCTAATATATTGACATAGGTACATTGAACAATAATATTTACAATTGTATTTTAACTGTATTTATTATTAACTAACTATAAGTAATTGTTATATTATTAACATCTGATAGTGTACAATAAATATTATTTTGTTTTATTACAACATTGTCTTAATTTTTAAATTCCTATGTTTAATAACAATAAACAATATTTATTATCCGTATAAATAGACTGCAAGAAAAAAACGTCCAACTAGAACAGTCAATTTATGATCAAAAAAAATGGATAGATAACGATGAGAGTAGGTTTGAATACAAATTTAAAAATATTTTGTCTAACATTTTTACTCCTACGCAAACTGAATTATTATTAAGACTTAAAAAAGTGTATAAATGGTCTCCCGAAGATATTGCTTCAGCTATCACAATTAGAAGTGTATCCCCTAAGGCATACAGATATTTAAGAGAGAAGAAAAACTTTCCTTTGCCAGGTACATAATTAATGAACATATTAGGTAGGTATCTACTTAATTTATAAAAAAATTATCTCTGAACTAGGCATGTCTACTTTGAGAAATTGGGCTTCAACATTTTCAATTGAACCAGGTTTATTGAAAAATGTTATGATTTTGTTGAAAGCCAAAGGTATATTATATCCATACACTCCTCAAATAATCAAATAATTTTATTATATTGAATTAATTTTATAAATTTAAGGAGATACCATGTCAGTGAATGAAAAATTAACAGTGATTTCATTTGACGAAACATATGTTTCAAATAAAATCTGTTATGATAAAAAATCTGAACAGATTTATAGTCCAGCTAAATGTGTACTTGTTCTGAGGGGTAGATATAATTTTTTACAATATTCGTAAACAGTGGCGTTTTCTCTGGGTGTGCAAGTTGTGTGTTAACGCCCTAAACATTGATGTCATACATGTGTGTAATATTGTAATTTGTAATTCATATTAGTATATTACATTGTTATATAATTTTATTTACAAAATCTTAAAATAATTGTCATGTAAAAATAATATCAAATAATAAACTATTGTCTATTTTAAGCTCAAAACTCGACCATGCGCCCGCGCCGTCTGCAGCTACGACGCCGATTACGGAATAATATTGTATTATGTTGTGTTTGTGTAGGGTGTAGCCGTGTAGGACGTTAATAATTCGAACAACGACTTGTGGTATCTAATATCTCATATTCGTAATTTGTCGTGATATTTTCGGATAACTTCGGTGCCATGTTAATACTAGACCAAGTCGTTGAAAATTAAATTAACGACTAGCCACTACTCACTAGTCACTAGTCTAGCGCTAGCCTATACACTGTGTTTGGACCGTTAGTGGGTATCACGATTTAAGATAGTATGGTTGCCCATCGACTTGTGATAAGAAAGCCAGTACAGTGAATCTCACTTTTTTTACTATAGCAGCGCTCCAAGTGAGCAAAATAGTGTCGTTAACTCGTAATTTGCGCGACTGTTTAAATCATACGGAACACAATCACAAATAATAAAGTTAACAAAAATGTTTAATAATAATAATATATTAGTGTAGGTACCTATAATTAACATATTATTATATATCTATGTGGTCACTAATTTCGACAATTTCTTTTTAGTGGTGTTTAGTTTTTTATTATTTTGATTTTGAATGTATGTGTATTGTCTCATTCTCATTATAAGGTAATGTGTATAAATATCGGATAATTCAGTTTGTTTGTGTTCTTCACAATCAAATCTAATAGAAATTTTCTTTTTTAAAAAAATCTTCAAATGCCTCTTCAAATACATTTTGAGAGTCTTTAAATTTAGTGAAGGACAATTCAAGAGATTTTATTATTCTGAATAGATTGCTGTTAGGATGAGATAGATATCCTCTACTTTTAGCCATTACTAAATCTGCATTAGTACCGTAAGCTGTCGTATTCAGATTTTTGAAACTAGATGCATATACTTGGCATTTAGTCTTTGCAGTTAGGCCGATCGCACACCAAAAGAGCAAAACTGCGTTAGACAGTGTTCGTAATTTTCGTCATAGTCAACTAAAAACAATTTGTTTTTATAAAATGCACACTACCTAGACAAAACACCATTAGACAAAACAAAAATCAGTTGTCATCATGTCATCTGATGAAGATGTAGCGATTTGCATGTGGTACACATTACAAAATTTAGAACAGAATCATAAAAAAAAAAAGTTATGGATTCATCCGTTAAATAAAAAACGTATCACTCATAATGTAATTTTAACTTTATTATGCGAACTACGTTCAGACGAAAGTAAATTTAAAAATTATACACGTGTAAGTAGTGTTACATTTGATTTTATACTGCAAGAAATAGGAGAAGAAATAAGGAAAGAAGATACAAATTTTAGAAAAAGTATTTCTCCTGAGGAAAGGCTTTTGGTTACACTGAGGTAAGAAACCTTATTGTTTTTTTAATCATTTTTATTTTTTAATTAATATAAAATTAATCATAATACATTTTTTTAAATAGTTAACAAAGTAAACTTAAACTTATAAATCTTTTTTGTAGTTAATTATGTTTTAAATTTGTTTATATTATTATTTTAACTTATAAATTAAAAAAAAATATCATTTGAATGAATTGTTACTTCCTTGTGAAGACGAAGATAAATCCGAAGCAAAATCACTGTAGTAATTGTTTACATTTTGGTTTTGATTAATTTGTTGATCTGTGTTTTGTCCTGCTATAAAAATCATATTTTGGTCCATGATAGGTCTGGCTTGATATAAATGATTACTCTGATGTTCAACTGGTCTGGGATACATATTATTTATATTGTTTTGAAATGAAGCTATTTGATTACTGTCTTCTTGTTCATCAAGATAACTATTTAAAGACGACATAACTAAATTTTTGAATTTCCTTTGATTTTTATCATTAAGTTTTTTATAGTCTGGAATAAGGCTTTTAAAAAATAACAATTCTGGAGGTTCCTCAACTGGTGCTGGCTTTGTAGTTCTTGATTTCAAAAATTCTATCATCGGTTCTGCTACCTTATCACTTGCTGTTGTTTTATATGCATTATTACGTAAAGTTAATTTTGGTTTTTTAAACATTGGTTCAATAATGTCTCGTTCACTCTCCATTACTGTATTATCTACTATATTATCTCCTGTTTTTCCTACTACTAATGTATCATCTTCTTCAGACTCTACGATTTCTTCGGATTCGTTTATATAATCGTTATCAATGTTGCTACCCATTTTTTTATGCTGCATCATAAAACCAGTTAAAAAACTCATACTATCAAAAAGGTACCATTTTCTTTTTTTAGAACCAGCTGACCCAGATTTTTTATTTTTGAGTTCACGAAGATCCCTTACAAATGAATTACGAAGACTAGTCCACTTACTTTTGCATACCGACACTAAAAAAACCAATACAAACATTTCACAAAATAATCATTCAATGGCTTACAAAGAATATGTTTACAATTATGATTAATAACAATTTATACATATAAAATTATGTACATTTCAATTCGACATACCTACTATTAATTTTTTTTTAAAACTAATACATACTTCGTTTAATTAAGAATTTATAATGGTTCATGTAAAAAAAAAGTTAAAAGTTGGTAATTTATTTAAACATTTATTTTTTAGTTTTTTGGCTTCTGGTGAACATTTTCAACGCATCCATTATAGTCTTAGATTAGGAGCTACCACTGCAGGTAAAATTGTCAATGATACGTGTTGTGCATTATGGAAAATACTATCGCCACAGTTTATGCCTCTACCTTCGACTGATGGTTGGTTGAACATTGAAAAAGAATTTGACAAATTTTGGAATTTTCCTAACTGCGTAGGTGCCATAGATGGCAAACATATAGCTATTCAATGTCCACCAAATTCAGGATCTAGTTATTACAATTATAAAGGACACCACTCTATTATTCTTCAAGCAGTAGTTGACGCCAACGCAAAGTTTATATTCATAGATGTAGGTGATTTCGGTCGTAACAGTGATGGAGGAATTTTAAAAGAATCAAATTTTGGAAAACTATTGGACAATAATAAACTACTTTTACCTCCACCGAGAAAAATTCATGAAGAAGTCGAAGATGAATTCCCATTTGTATTTGTTGCGGATGAAGCGTATCCGTTAAAAAAAAATTTGATGAAGCCATTTGCAAGAAAACAATTGACAAATCCGAAGCGAATTTATAACTATCGTCAATCACGAGCGAGAAGAATAGTAGAGTGTGCTTTTGGTATTCTAACAAAACGATTTAACGTATTTGAAAATAAAATGTTAGTTAATCCGGAGAAAGCTACAATCATAACTCAAGCTGCTTGTGTACTTCACAATTTAATTATGGAAAAAGAACATAATCTAACTGACATTCATAATGAAATGGAAACAACCTCATCACGGGTAAACCAACAAGACATCATCAACAAACCTACAAATCGCAGACCACCAAGAGATGCTATAGATATTCGTGAAAAGTTTATGAAATATTTCAACTCTGAAAAAGGATCAGTTCCATGGCAAAATGTATACACTGTTTAAATACCTAAGCTAAAATTGTTTGTTTTAAATAAATAATTTTTTTAAATACAAAAAATACTGTTGTGTTGTGAAACGTTGACAGTACACATTTTTAACGACAGTTATGTTGTTTTAAATAAAAATGCTGTTTAGTAATGCTGTTTTCAATGTTTTCAACTCCGTACAAGTATACAATTTGTAATTTCTTATGTAATAATAATGATTCAATAACTTAATAACTTAATAATACTTTATAATAAATAATAATACTTTATAACTAATATATTCAAATTACCATCAACATTCATTTCTTTACTTATTTCTTCCCATAACTTGTCTTGCACAATTCGATTGCTATGGTCCTTGTCTCCAAAATCATAAATGGATGGTCTTATTTCCACTAAACTTACTAGTATTTCTCCATCACAAGCCATTATGTGATAAGTATAAAAAAAATATAAACAAAATACAAAATACACACGAATAATATTCTTTCTTGTCTAGTTGTGACTAACGAAAAATGTGGACACTCAGACAGTATCAGTCATGACTAATTGTGATTTAAAGCAAAAACGTTTTGTTTTGACTATGTCTTATTAATGTGCGTATGCAACGTAATTTCCTATGTTCTATTTTTAACAAAACTGTGTTAGGCTGACTAACACTGTCTAACGCAGTTTTGCTCTTTTGGTGTGCGATCGGCCTTAATCGCTTGGCCATATATCTAAAAAATTAAACTAAATATTAGTACTATGTTAATAAATAACTATTTATTTAAAGTTTGTTTTTTACTTATATAAAAACATACCCTGCTAAATAATATACTATACAGTCGAAAACAGTAGAATCAGAATAATCGTGTTCTTGAAAAATTAACACAACATGCCATTTTTATTATTATAATATAGAAAATAATCAAAATTATAGCAATATGCCAAATTGCCAATATAGTTGATTATCATATTATATTAACATTTAATAGTAAAATATCAAATGATAATTAATATGACGTTTAGACTGTTTAAAGTATTATTATATTTATATAATATCAGTTCTGCCATCTTAGAGTATAATTCAAGTATACAATTTTAGGCGGTAAAAGTATTTTACTGTAGTCGATGGGCAACCATACTATCTTAAATCGTGGTGGGGATCGTCGCGGCTGCACGTTATCCTGTTTACGTCGTAGTCCATAGGTACTATACTGCAAGACTGCAACGCCGATCGTCGAAAACATAATAAATAATAAATAATTTTAATAATATGTTGATTATTAATAGTTTATACGAAATTATTTCCCATAAGGGGGGTTTTCCTAATAGTTTTCCTCACACATTAACGCCTAACGCCGAAAGTCAGGAAACGCCACTGTTCGTAAATCATGTTCTTCCTGATCAAAGTATTGAAGAATAATGAAATGTTTATTTTATTAATTTAGGACTAGTAGGAAGTTGGAAGCAGCCAATATATTTTGACTTTGACACTCCGATGTCAAAATAATTATTGTTACACATTATAAGTGAGGTACATAATATTGGTTTTAAAGTTGTAGCTATGGTCAGTGATATGGGGCCTAGTAAATATGGGCCTATGGCGGGATTTAGGGATATGTACTGAAAATACATGGTTTAAGCATCCAGTAGAGGGAACAAAATTACATGTTTTTGCTGATGTTCCACATCTCCTTAAATTGGCCCGAAACCATTTTCTTGACAAGTCAGTGCTTATATACAAACATTTGTCCAAACTTTATAAAATAACTCTAAATTGAAATGACAATTATTATGTACTGGTTTAGAGGGTTTGTTTTGTCAGATGGAAAATTGATCGGGAAAAATATTCTCAAAGAAATATTGAGGATAAATAAAGGCCAAGACTTTAAAGTAGCTTATAAACTATCCGAAAAACATATTAATGTCCAAGGTACAGCTCGAATGAATGTGAAACTTGCTGCTCAGGTTTTTTCAAATAGCGTTTCTAAAGCCATACTTTTCTGTAGAGGAAAAAACTTAATTAATGATTGTAATTGGAAAGAGGTAATAACATGATTAAAGTTAAATACATGTATAATACAATATAGTATAGACTATAAAAAATAACATATTATGTTTAACTATAGGTTTCAGAAGTGATACAACTAATAAATGACTAGTTTGATTTAATGAACACTCAGCAGAAGTATGATAACCATGTTGCAAGTTATGGCTTAAATGAAAATGAACAAAATGAATTGCTCTCTAAAATGAACAATTTCATACTTCAAATGATAGTTTATGGTAAAAATGTACTTCTGCCTTTTCAAAAAGGTAATTATTTCTTACAATAAATTAACTTAACGGAATGATTTCAAAATATACCTTTTTTAATAGGTATAATCGGTACCAATAAGTCAGTTCAAAATGTACTTGAAGACTTAAAAGATTTTGGATTATCATACAGTATGACAAGGAAGCTAAATCAAGACGTGGTTGAAAATTTATTTAGCTACTTAAAAGGAATGGCCGGATCAGCTATGAATAATATTTCGCCTATAGATTTTAAATATTGGTAATATTAGTTTTACTTTTATTTTTAAATACTATGTTATATATTAGTTAAAAGTATATTTAAAATTATTTTTATTAAGTATCAAGAATAGGTAGGTACAGGGTAGAATATAAGTATAACCATAGTCTCAAAGTAGCAAGAAAATAGTGCACATATAATTTGAAAAATAATTTTAATCATAGATGAAACTACGGGTCAGGCCAGTCAGGCCATGACCAAACTTAATACTAGATAATATACTGACTTAATAAAATTTCAAATTTTAATAAAAAAAAATATTCTGTAATTAGAATTTTTTTTTATATTCTTCATTTGGCCTATCCTAATAACATTTTTTAGTTTTACCTATGATTTTCATTAAGGGTGAAGGACATTACAAATACATTACCATAATACTAAATAGATAATAGCAAAACTAAAAGTACCTTTAAGTGCAATTATATAAGTCTCATATTTCAGTCTTAGGTGGTATAACTTAGGCAAGCATTCAAATGTTATTTTTACTCAAAATATGAACACCGAGGGAGTGCAAGAAGAGAACATTTTGAACGAAAATGATAGCTTGGTGAAGAATATACTCATCGACGCAGGTGTGGATGATGTTGAATCTGATGTCTCAGAAATAACTGTTGAGACTGTTTCTACAGAATATCTTGATCTTCTAGAAACATTTGAACGATAAGTAAATATAAAAATGTATAGTTACAGTATTGTATAATATAAATGTTTACCTTTTATTTCAGACTGTAGAAAGTCACTTTAATGACATAGAAAAAGAGTGTGTGGAATATGTGGCAGGATACATTGCATATAAATTTTTTGAAAAATACCCTCACTTAACTTCTACCAATCGAAATAAATCTTAGATAGATTGTGTATCACGAGGAGGGCTTAAGACACCCAGTGATGATTTACTAACAGCAATGAAACTAATGGAATCAGATTTTAAAATGTTGCATGGTGATAAATTAAGTAAATCTTCTGGAATAATGACTACACTATCAAGCATGATAAAGTCTAACATTCAACATCTGAACTTACCACAAGAGGTTGTCATGTGTATGGTACGAACTAGAACATTCATTCGACTCAATAATATGAATCGCGAATTGAAATGTGGTTTACTACATAAAAAATTAAAAAAATTCACTTCTTAAGCAGTTAAATATAATTAATATCAAGTACAGTTTAATTTTTATACAAACAAGTGTATTTTTTTTATAGTTATACTTATATCCATGACGAAATTTCGTCATGATTAAACCTATTTATTAATAAATTTATGAATTTCTTTGTTCAATGTTCACTTGTTCAGTATTACAACTGTGAACTGTTGATATTGCCTATAGTAATGCATTTCAGCTATCACGCCCGGCGACCGGGCGATATCCGCGCCAAACGGTCAATTATCTGAAAATGACACAACCAATGAAAAGCGGCGAACTGGATACAGCTCTGTATGATGGTCGGCGGGGTAAGGGGTATGCGTATCATAAAGTTGCCATCATACCATGTTTTTTTATCATGACTATGGTATTTGTACACATAGGCTGTAGTGATACAAATGTTCAGTGTGCGTAAGACAGCTGACTTTGTCCCGTGGGTCCAAGTCCGCCGATCGACGACAACACCTGCCTGTGCGACAACGCACACACGCTCCACTCTTTCGTCTCCATGGTCTGGGCCACGCCGTGTTGTACGACACTTGGGCGCGGAAAATTGGGTTACGGGACAATTGGGCGCAATGAAAATTGGGTGCCATACATTTGGGTACAAGAACATTTATTTATTAATTCAGATTAAAACAATACTATTATGCAATATCTACTTAAGAATATTAAATCTACACAATTTTTAATAATTTAATTTATAATCAATAATTTTTTTTTTTTTTTAATGAACAAGTATTTGATTAGATATATTAAAGCTGTTAAATTAATTAAAAACTGTAAGCACAGTTTTGTCTTACAAAAAATAAAAATAAGAAAAAATCATAAAATTATACTTAAACATTTAGACATTATTAATACATTTATTTTATTATGATAGATTTTGAGCAATGCCTTTTAAAAAATCGTTTATACTGCGGTTTTCAAAATTATTACAGATTGCTTTAATTCTAGAAGCTGTGTCTTTATATTTTTTAAGTTTTTGTCTTGGTTCCGTTCCAGCCAAAAATTGATGCATTTTTAAACGATTAAGTTTTTCTTCTTTTTTTAGCGCTTCGATAAACTTCCATATCGAAGGATGGAGTGCATTTAATGTTGAATTAAATGAATTATGCCACCCTTCTACTGAATTGTTTGTTTTAGGAATATCATATTTAACGAGATTGTAACAATTCCATAGCTCTATTGGAAATCTGGGATTTCGGCGTTTTTTATTACGACATAATTTCCCAATCCACGTACTCTCAAAATAATCCAAAAAATCTGATAATAAGGTTTCATTTTCAATATAAAACTCAGTTTCCAAAATTGCTTCGTATGCATTAATTACCAAATGATAATGCATTTAACTTTTTAATGTTTAATGCGAAATTAGATTCTTCACGATATTTAATAGCTAACACGCTATATTGAATATGTCTCCATAGAGCTTGCGAATAATGAAAAAAATATCCATGTATTGACGTATTTGGAAACACCTTTTTTATTGCATTTATGGTTGAAAGCTCGAAATCAAGCATAAAAGTTGTTGGTTTAAGTTCCAGTTTTAAATTTAAAATTATTTCAAATAAACGGACATAAGTTTCTTCCGTTTTATTTGGAAGGAGAGCGAATAAAAATGACAAAACGTTACTGTATTGTATACCATGAATGGTATATAGTTGGTAAAAAATAGATGGTGCACTAGAGAATGTACCATCTGCATACCAATTGTTACAATAAGTCATCAAATTTAAATTTTCTTCTGTCGAATAAATTAAAATTCGCGGATTTCCTGATTTTTCATCGTTACTGTCATATAACAAAAATGGCTTACCATCAATTGTTGTTTTGTACACCGCAGGAATTACTAGCTCATCTAATGTTCTAGGATTTGCTGGTGCCATAATTTCTTTTTGACGAATACGTTGTATCGTTTTTTTCATTGAAGAAATTCCAGGTAATTTACTTGCGACAGATTCAGTTACCTATATGATAATTTAAACGATTATTCATATATTTTTATAATTAATAACATAACATTTTTATTTATAATTAATAACTTAAAATTTTTATTTATAATTATTAGTTTAAAATAATTTAAATTAATTACCTCTTTCGACATAGTACTCAAAACTAATTGTGAACTCAGCTCTGTTTCTTTTGCTATTTTTTTCATATTTTCAATAGCCTGTTTTGCTTCAATTTTTGAACGATCCGGCCGATGGTTATGTTCACGCTTACTTTCTTTTGTTACTTTTCCCTTTTCTACATGTACTCGACCCGGACATTTTTTACTATTATTTTCAATACAGCGCCAAATTGTTTTTTCATTAGTTGTGCGTTCTAATTTGTATAAATAGCCTTTAAAAATTAGCAGGTCTCGATTCTTTTCACTTTTAACGAATTCACACATTGTAAAAAGAAATATTTCATATAACACAAATTATTTAGCACTTAATTGTGTTACCAGCGCATGAACGTGATATACTAAATAAGTATCAAAACTCGTTTTGTTAGATTATAAATTCTTATCCGTGTTATATGTATTGTAATTGGGAATTTTGGCAATAATATTGATAAGTACAATAGAACGCTGATTATCCGAACGCCTATTAACCGGACGTGAAAAAAAAAAATAATAAAAGGTCTAATCATATTTTTAATTGCATTGAACAACTGTGGATATTTAACCAGACTAAAATATCGCCATTTTTCAAACCTTAGTCAGTCTATTGATATTCGCTCCTAATTGTCTTTCACCCAATTGTCATTGCGCCCAATTTTTTGCACCCAAGTGTCGGCATACCGCCACGCCGACTTAGTACGTGTTTAGTGATATCGGCCGATTAATTTACATGTTATTCCACATGCTCTCGCTCTGTTTTCCCACTCCCACTGTCTCTGTCACCCGTCATATTTTTCGTGCGTTTGTGGCCGAATAGCCGACGAACGACACTTCTTTTCCGTACGCCGGTGCAAGCACAATGCTAGGAGAGTAGAGCGCCACGGTGGCCGTAGCGCCATCGGACGGCACTCATGATAGGAGCATGGTGGTTTGTATATTTGCATATTATTACCTATTTATCACCGTGGCCGGTATCCCTACTGAATTATTATTATTATTATTGGCATATTTGGCTGAATAATTATTATTATTGTCATATTTGGCTGGTATAATATGTTATTGTTCTTGTGTGTGTCATTTTTTATTTATTTTGTCCGAGTGTTATGCCGGTGGCTTTCTCGGCGCCCACCTTAGAATAATATAATGATTTTTTTTTACCTACTTAGTGTGTTATGTTTATCCTTTCTTATTCTCGTTAGGATTTCCTCATTCCTGGTCTTACCAACTATAAAAAATCCACGGTGCTCCGACCTTTTGGGGTCTCGGCTCGTGGTTGGCGACCTTACTCCACCACATGACTCTCGGGTCATGAGCAATATGACACAAGGTTGCACATTTTTTAAAGTTGATTGCTAAAAGTTGCTAAAAGGTTGCTAAATATTGGCACATGTCCGAAGTTGGTAGGACAACGTCGGGGGGAAAACTTCATGCATTTAACCGATTATTCTGTGACTGCAATGTCGTTGAATGACATATATATGATATAATGTGCTTTGTAGTAGACTACGTCGCCCTTGCCGAACTTCACCGGTGTGCAGGTGTTCGCTCTCGGTCTTACTCCCTTTTTGCCTATAATACGTGTTTCCCGCTCTACCCTCTCTTCTTGTGATTTACCGATGTGAACTGGCGTTGCTTTAGATAGCGCCCAATCTCCGGGTCTCTTGCATTCCCTGCCAATGGCAAGGACTGCGGGTGGGTAGCATGTCTGTTCGTTGCACCTGTTCCGTATCGAAAATAGGATTGAGGGTAATTTTGTGTCCCAAGATTTATGTTTGCCATCGACTAGCTATGCGCGCAAACCTTTTTTTAAATCTTGATTACGGCGTTGGGATTACCTCGGATTTGTAGACTGGCGTCGTCCAACCATGTGCCCCCCCCAGCGCTCTAACGCGTTTAACATTTTGTTTGACACAAACTTGTGGCCGTTATCACTGAGACACACGCGGGGGTAACCGAAACGCGAAAAGAACTCGCGTTCTAACGTTTCGATTATTGTTTTAGAGGTTGTTGTTCCTAAGGGGTAAGCCTCTATCCACCTACTACAATAGTTGGTTGCTACCAATATGTACGATTTTCCCTTATCGGAACTTAGGTATAAGATCGACACTGATAACTTCCTATGGTTGCTGGGGGGTTCTTGGTTGCATTGGGTCGTTAGGACACGAGTTTAGTGGTTTCGTGCACGCGCATACGTGGCACGCACCGACATATAAACTGACGTCGTTCTTTTGACCTTTCCAATAATATCGTTGTCGAACCTCCCAATAAGTCTCTTTCCACCCCGGATGGTTAGATAAGACGTGATCGTGACACTTCCAAATAACATGTGCTTTGGTTTTCAGTATCACGATGGGTGTGTGGGGGCCTACGTTTACGCGTAAGAAACCGTCGGAATAAACATATGCGATGGTTCCCGATTTTGTGCTCCTAGCGTTCCGCGCTGGACCGTCCCACTTGTGACCGGGGACTAATCGCTGCGTCTTCGGACTGCCGTCTGCCATTTTTCGAGAGTAAGTTGTCACGTATGTCGTCACTGTCGTGGTTATCGAATATAGAGAAGATACAGTCTGACTCGAGTTCAATATTTTTTGTTGGCGTTGTAGGTGACCCTACCAACTTTTCCTCAAGTCGATCTTCATCTACCGGTGTACCAGGTGCTTCAAGTGTTTATCATTTTGTATTATTTATGGACGAGGTAATGCATCATACAATGTATATTCAGTTATTCATTTAGCAAACGATGCTAAGAAATATGGAGTAGGTAGTTGATCAATTATCATAATTTCCGTATAAAAATTGCTTTCAAAATTTGAAAAAGATGGTGAAACCTGGAGTTCACCCGTATAATCGTATCAGTGAAGAATGGCACTACAATATTTCT